TTTTTAGGCAGAGTCTTGCTCTGTCACCAGGCACCAGGCTGGAGTGCAATGGCGCGATCTTGGCTCACTGCAACCTCTGCCTCCCAGGTTCAAGCAATTCTCCTGCCTCAGCCTCCAAAGTAGCTGGGACTACAGGCACACGCCACCACGCCCAGCTAATTTTTGTATTTTTATTAGAGACGGGGTTTCACCATGTTGGCCAGGATGGTCTCCATCTCTTGACCTTGTAATCCGCCTGCCTCGGCCTCCCAAAGTGCTGGGATTACAGGCATGAGCCACCACGCCCAGCCACTACTTGATTCTTGACTGAGTAATCTTGGGCAAGGCCTTCCATTCTCTGGGCCTCAGTTTCCCCACCTGTAAAGTGGAAGTATTGCCCGGATCTCTGGTGTTCTATGGTTTTAGGTGGTAGTGCCTTAGACTGCCTGTGTAAATGGCTACATGGGGCAGGGGTAGGGGCAGCAAGGAGAGTGGAGGGGAGTTTTGCAGGGACAAGAGATAGGGCTGACTAGCTCAGCAGAGCAGAGACTGAACTCAGAGCTGGCTTCTGTGAGCTGGGAGAACTTTCTGACCTACGGTCTACTGCCACAGCAGTAGCCTTGGTCCCTGAGGGACTAGAGGGGGCTTGGTGCTGGCTCTCTTCAGGCTTCCCACCCGAGGTTGTGTAAACAGCTCCACCTGAGTCCTGTTGATGGCCGATGGATGGCATCATCCCTGCACACAGGAACCTGTGGACAGCGCGAATGTGTACCTTGTCCGCGTCACTTCCCTGTCCGTACGTGATCACGCAGCCCCTCCCTCCATCCTAAACCCTAGTGAACCCAGATGCAACAGGCTGTGAACATGAAGTCTTTATTCTGTTTGTCTTCAAAGCAGGGAAGGGCTGGTGCAGGGGTCAGGGCACGCCTCCAGCAGGAGCTCCATACTGGGTGCCTCCATGTGACAGCATAAGCCCAGGCAGAGGGGCATCCCAGAGAGTGTTCCAGCTCTGGGCCGGGGCTGAAGGCAGGGCCTGCCTGGGCAGCAGAGGGCCTCAGCGGGCCAAGGCGAAGCCAATGCGATTATTACGACGATCAAACTCTGTGTAGAACTTTCGGATAAAGGTGGCGCCCAGGGCCCAGGTGGGTCCAGTGGGTGGTGGGATATCCATGGCGTGGATGGCCAGTGTGCACAGCTTTTTACTACTGTAGGATTCCTGCAGGAAGGAGGAGAGTTTTTCCTTACCCAGCACCTCAACATTCTCCTGTCACCTTGCCTGACCCCAGCAGCTGTCTTCAGTCACATTCCCCCTTCTCGCCCCCTCTCCCCTAGCCACACGGAGCCTCCCTCACTTCTTGGCCGTTTTGCTCCATCGTGGACTGTACCACTCCCGCATTTAGGTCCTTTGCTAGATGCCAGGCAAGCAATGCATCAGGCACCATACTTCCTATAGGAGGCCACAGTTCGCCTTAGCTTCTGAACCTAGACAAGCTCTTCAACTTCTCTAAGCCTATTGATGACGAAAAGAGGATCTGAATGTAGGAGCCTAAGATTACCGGGAGCATTTGATAAGAAATTGGAGATGAGGGAACAGGCCCAGTGATGCCCAAACATGGCCACACATTGGAATCACCCGGGGAGACCAAGCCCCAGGTACCATTCCTAGAGGTTCTGATTTAATAGGTAGGGGATGTGGCCCCGGTACCAGGTTTTTTCAGAGCTCTCCAGGTGACATGCACAGCCAAGTTTGAGAACTACGGTTCTGACATGATCCGAGCATTGCAATCTTTCCTCCTTTGGGGGTCTCTGTCCAGCCTTCCTCCCTGCCACTGAGGGGGCCCTCTCGAACCTCACCTGAAATACATAGTCCGCGCTGGTGAGCGTGTATTCTTTGCCTCCCAGGTGGAAAGAGATGTCGGGGAGTGTAGGGCCCTCGTTACACTTCACAACATACTGTGGTGGGGGGCAAAGGGAGCCTTCTTGAGTGCGGAAGGCATCTCAGCAGACAAGGGGTCCTGTACTGGCTGCCTGGACTCTCTGCTAGAGAGGGCAGGGCACAGTGCCCCTCTCCATGGGTGACCGGCCACACGTGTGGAGAGTGTGAGGCGAACAAGCGAAGGCCTGAGATGGCCTCATTTGGGACCTCATGCTGCCTGGGGGATTTGTGAGCGAAGACCAGGTGGTACTCCCCCCACCCGCAGCACCTTCCCTCTTTGGCTTCTTACATCAAACAGCCTCTTCTTGGCCCCCAAGGCCTCCATGAGCTTCTCTATGGAGCTGGTAGAGCCTGAGATGTAGGATGCACCGGTGTCCACCAGTGCCAGGCAGCCGTCCTCACAGAGCAAGGTGGATGACCCCACAGACACCCTGGGGGAGGCCACAGTCGGTCAGACACACAGAAGGCCGATGGGGCACCTCCAGGCTGCATGTCCTTCCTGAGTGCGGGTGGATGGGTGGAGACCGCGCTGGTGGCCCATTGAGGCAGTGAGTGGAGGGGGGAAGGTACTGTCGCCCTCCACTGCTTCTCCCCAGGTCCCTCCCTTCTCTGTTCCCCAGGCTGGACAGAGCAGGCAGAGAGCAAATGGTGGCTGTGCTTAAGAACTGGCTGCATTGGAAAGAGGGCAGGATGCCCCTTCCCCACCCTCCCCAACCCCAGTGACAACAGCAATTTTTGGAGCCTGGGGAGTGTTGAGGATTTCTGACCCCTTCATTGGAATCTGCCAGAGGCCAGTCCTGATGAGGTTGATATAGTGGAAATTCCCTTCATAATGCTGTGGGTCGCTGCCTCCCAGCACAATCTGTCCTCCCAGCGATTGGGAATTCCTAAAGGAAAGATCAGAAGCTCTTGGAAACCCATAACCTTCAGGACCCAGGGACTCAGGCAATCGAGGAAAGTTGGGCAAGGGTGCAGGGCAGGACAGAAGGCTCTAGGGCAGTGGCATGTGGGACAGCCAGCCAGCTCGGACTGCTGCTGGGGAGCACGAAGGCCCTACTGCTTCCCTGCCTTTCTTGCACCTCTCCAAACCCAACCAGAGGGTGTTCCAGGGTAGTCCAGCTGTGCCCCAAAAAGCATCCCCAGAGAGGTCACAGAAAAGGAGCAGGTCCAAGGACAGCGAGTGGATTGAGAAAGACACAAATGGACGCCCCTCACTCGGGGTTGGGTTGCTGCTGATTGAGCAGTGCGTG